GGGCGGACGGGGGGGGACTCATCCTGGTTACCATAAATTGAAAATAATGTTCCTGATATTGTCCATACACAGACATATGACATGGTTCATGTAATGCCATAATAGTGTCATGATTAATAATCAGAATCCATCAGAACAAGTGTTCAGAATAAAAAGTGTCTCATGGTAAAATAAACTGGGACAACAGCCAGAGCCTCACAAATAATTTAGCTTTTTTTTTAACAAAATATATCATTCAATAATTAAAATAATATTTAAGAACTAGGTTTTGTGTGTGTGATTGTATTCTGTATAGAGTCTGTAAGAGCATTTTTATTTGCCAGAGATGAATTGGATGTTAAAGTGTGATTGTGATGCAAATGAAAACATTTGGAATGACAACCCTTGTGGCATCTATTAACATTTGATTTTCTGCTGATATTTAAAGGGCAATCAATCATGAAACATATTCGTCCCACTTCACCCTATGTCACCCTATTTACAAAGAAATAACACATAAAATAAACTCTGTTTCTGACCTTTTTCATCACTAGGGAGTGGCAATAATGACCAATTCAGCAAGCCATATCATGTCATGCATGCCACTGTTACTTAGTCAAATCCTGACACAAGAATGGAAGAACTTCACTGTACTTAATGGGTACATTGAGCAAAACCTGGCAGTTTCAGCCATATTACAGTAACACAGGTTTTCAGATCCCATCCCATCACTTTAAACCTTCATCAGGTCCCTCTGCACTGCTGCCCCCTAGTGGTCCAAAAATAACTGCATGTTTAAATCTTAAATTTTCATTTATGTTGAGGGGTGCCGAGTCCTACTCCAGCAAATCTCCTATCTCACAAAGTTCCGTTCCAAACATTATCATACACACCTGAATAATCTACTTAAGATGTAGTGATTACAGAAAAGTGTGCTGGAGCAGAGTTGGAGCTGAACTTTGCGGGACGGTAGCTCTAGATCTGGATTGAGCACCTCTGCTTGAAACAGTTTGGTACATTTAGTCCATCAGAAGATATCTTCAACCCTCATCACTTGTGAAACTTAAACTAGTGATTATCTGATAATCAGACAATTCTAAAAACAAAAGAAAAAGAACACGATTTAAAAGATTAAAATAAAAATATTGCACATTTAAAGTTTTAATTGAAAAAAAAGGAACAATACAGTTATTGCTGATAATTTTTTGTAAAACTATTTTGTGTAAAAGGAGAGCAAAGAAGAAAAGACAAGCACAGATCTTACTTTTCTTTTTGAAAATGCTTTATTAAACTACCTCTATAAATACAATGCCAAAAAAAGCTTTAAACAAACAATGCGAAATAGAAAACAGTTCTAAGTAGATCTAAAAAAAAAAGATAAGAATATTTTGGCAATAACATTCTACATTATCTAAATGTCCTCTGCCGAGGTCAGCTTGTCTTGTTCATTTGTCTTTTAGTAACAAGAAACAAGTGTAAAAATGGAGGGAAAAACGCTACACGTGTAGTGTTTCTGAAATGATTGCAAAAGAAAATGTTTTGCCAATGAATGCATGATTAATTTGGGCCAGTATTTACTCCACATTGGCAACTTAGAGCCACATTTATATATCCACACATACACACATTCGCATTAGTTGAACACTTTGGCAAAAAAGACGTTTTTGTTGTTAAACGTCTCTAAAGCACATATAATGAGATGGAAATATCTTCTTAAAATATATTAATAGCATTTCCTCTTACTTCATACACAAAAACATTGTACTGTATATATTAAATATATCCTGACTGCTTCTCTCATAATAAAAGATTAGATAACAGACAGAGAAAAACTACTGGGGATGGTACACTTTTCTCAAAAACACACAGATATGCCATATCCGAGAGAGAGTGTCCTCGATGATTGCAGCAGTGTGTAAAAATGTGTCTCTAGCGTACGTGATGTGAACTGCATGGATTGTCATTCTTTGTTTGGTACATTGTGAAGTTTTCCCCAAACTTTCACTCAGTCTCTTCTAAAAAAAAAACAGGCTATACTTAATAAAACATCAACTCTGTTAGAACATGAAAGCATAATACAACATAAAGCAGCACTCTAACACTCAGAGCCCCCATTGAAACAACAGTATAACAGAAAAAAATAAGAAAAAAAACTTGACTTTCTGAAAGAAAATAGGACAGAAGAGGCACTGTGGTATCACAAACAGTGTTTAAGAGGTCACTTGACAGACAGCAGTCTGAATAAAGGCCCATGTGACATACGCAGTCCTACAGAAGGCATAGTGGTGGCATACAGCAGTCTTCAGAAGGACATTAATATGATATACAGCAGTCATTGAAAAGACAATAGAGATTTTATCAGGTTCTCTGAGCTCCCTGGTTTCAGTTTGGTCCAGTTCATTCCAGTTCTATGAGTATCAAAATACCCCTAAAAAGACAAAAGTGCCTGCTCACACACATATTGTAAAGCATATACACATACACAAGAACCTCTAACACCCGACAATGTTTAAGTGCACATCATTGCTAACATACCATACTACGGTATCTACACAACATGGAGTGTGATCTACAAAAATGCAGGGTTAGAACTACAAAAGAAAGCAAAAACTACAAAACTCGATGGACCATCTGGCTGCTCATCTATAGGAGGAATTGGGGGGGGGGGGATGAGAGTATCGCCTTTAACCTGATTTTATTCTGCAACTCAAGGTCTGCAACTCAAGACCGTTAATAAACAACATGAACCTAATTGGTTCAGTGGTAAATGGGACAGTACTTCAGGTGTAATTTGCATTAATGGCACAAAAGCGGATATGAGGGAGCCTGTGCTCTAATGATGCACATAAGACTTCACAGGACTGGATGCTGGGAATCACAGTAGTGGTCTGAAAAATAAGGGTTGGTCATCAACTAACACAACCAGTACAAGCAAGCAGAACTAAGTCATCATAAATAATGCTGTATCTTCAACCCAGCTACTTTTATGTCAGTCCAGTTTGTGCATTTAAAACACATTAAAGAGATAGTTTACACAAAACTGAACATTCTGAAAATCATTGAAAATAATTTATTTGTGTCATTCCAAACCTGAATGACTTACTTTCTTTTGTAGAACACAAAAGCAGATCTTGGTAACCTAAAAGTTTTGGTTACCATTGACTTCCATTGCATGGAGAGAGACAAAAAAAGATAGATCTCAAAATATCGTCTTTCATGTTCCACCAAAGAAAGTAAGTTATATAGGTTTGGAAAGATATGTGATTTAATTTTTGGGTGAACTATTATCCAGCATATATCCGACTGACTGAAAAACTTCTTTCTTTTTCTTGAACACATTGCCTCTGAGAATGTGAATGAAAACAGTGTTTGTCTATCTTCCAGTTTAGAGAAGAAAAATATCCTCTAGACAATAAAAACAGCATCTTCAAACCAACTAAACAGTACAATCTTAAAATAATCTAAATATAAAAATGCATAAGCAAATAAACAGTTAAGGCGGAAAAACTAATGCAGGTATTTGCATATAGACTCGCTTGCAGGAAACCCAGTGGACGGAAGATTCAGACGTCTTCAACGCATTTTGCAAGTATATGTTATAAACTCAAAATACAGCCTTTTCATGAAACACTTTCAATCTTCTACTTCTGTGGTTGTTGAAGTTCCTGCTCAGCAGTTGTTTGTTCATTTTACAGTTTTTCTTCATAAAACAAAAGTAAATGCTCTGAAGCATACAGAGGCATTAAATACGCTCTTTTTAAAGTCCACAAATACTACAACGTTCCTTCAGTATTCTTGTGGCCGTGAATGCAGAGGAGCGATATTAGGAGTGTGTGGCGACAGGAACGCTCTGGCTCACGATTCTCAGCTGGAGTGTGTGGGGAAGACGGTGATATGTCAGTAGGTGTGCTTCTTCTGCGAGTCTTATTTTGAATTACTTCATATGAACATATCACTCGGAGTCAGTCCACATCTGTACTGGTGATCAGCTAATATACAAGACCTCTGCAGAATGATAAAATATGCAAATGAGCATGCGAGAACAGGAGTTGTCATTCATTCAGTCGTGTGATGGCTTTGGAAATCAGCAAGTGTTATCAAATCCTTTAGGAAGTCGAACTGACAGACTGCTTCCTATTGATCTAAAGGGAAAATAGGTGAGGTTCTGGTCACATTGCAGGGTTTGAGTCCATAACTTAGAACACAAAAGTCTACCTGTCTTGGTAAGTTAATCAGTAGCATATAAAAGTGGTTTTGGTCTAGGTCATTCGTCTGGATGAATAAATGTGGGCCAGACGGGCTGATGAAGTTGAGAATAAATTTAGCAGAAATCTACATCCTTGCTGCCAGCATCTAATCTAAAGGCTTCCAGGGAGCTTCACACGAGTCAAAATGTGTTAGTTTTGTTGTATGTCAGTTTCATTCTGCGTGGTTCAATTAACCAGCAGACCTCATAGTTATGCCGTAAATGTCTGATGGCCTGTGGCGACGCGGTGTGTGTAATTGTAAGTCACTGTGATTGATGCTGTGAGTGTCTCAGTAGGTCTGGTATATATCGTGAATGGGCATCTGGAAGGTGGCAGTGGCAGGGAAGGCCTGAGGCATGTACCCAGCGTACCCTCCATAGGTTGCGGCGGCTGCCACAGCAGCGTTCTTCTGCAGGGCTGCCAGCGTGGCGGTGTTGGCGTGGGTGGCGATTGGCATGTAACTGGCTCCATACAGACTGGCAGCTGCAGCTGGAATCCTCTGCACATTATGAGCCATAGCGTAGACGGGAGTTATAGGACGACCCTGTGAGATAGATAAAGAAATAGATTGTTACACCACATCCTAATTAAACACTATCAAGCAACGATAAATAAAGTGTTTTTGACCACGACCATGATGGCGGGTCGCTTGGCTTTTATTTCCACGCTGTCATGCTGGGTAGGTGCTGCCTAGAGTAAAATCTCAATGGTCCCAAACAGAATACTGTATGTGAGTGGAGGGGTTGTCATTCTCTGCTCAAAGATTAAATAAAACCTGGTCCAATTTCCCTCCACAGCAAACACATTTGCATATTAAAGGCAAAGTTTGCAGATTTTCAACCAGCTTTGTATTCTTACATTGTCGATAGTGTACAGTAAATTAACAATTTGTATTACAGTATTTTTCTGTTACCTGCACCAAGATCGAGGTTATTTGTCATCAAAAGTTCACCATATGACGCAAACTTGGCTTTTGTGAAAACTACAGATCATACTGAGGAATTTTTGTATCCCCACTCATTGATAGTTTGATGGAGCCCAGTGCATTATGAGTATTGAAATTTTCCTACATTTTTCAGCACATCACTTTTTCTCTGTTTTCTCTAGTCATGTAGCACCGATTTAAAAATATATATATAATAAAATAAAATCATGTCTTTAATGCATAGATAGCCAACTTTTATTAAAACCCCATATTACCGGTTACAAATTATCCCTTTAACAGTCCAATAAATTTCTTTAAATGTTTTTTTTTTTTTTTTTTTACTTATCATGACCATATGAACGCAAGATTCATACAGATTTCCATACAGTTGTGAAGGCGATATTCAATATTATGACAATAGCATTTTGACTAGATGTTGTGTATTTTTGGCCAGTATTGGTATTATTCTTCTGATAATTTTTTTACAATTCAATATCTCTTGATTTTTTGGCTACTAACAGTGTTTTTATGTGATGAAGTCTTTAATTACAGGCTGCAAGATATTATGCTCATTGGGATTCATATTTTTAGAATCTCCTTCCAATTCATGAGTTGGAATTTTAATTGAATAGAAAGCTGATCTGCAATTTGAACAAGTGGAATTCATAATTACAGTTCAAAGAAATGTAATATACTGGCACACTATTTATATATTTTGGCCTATAAAACCTTCTAAATTAAAGACAATTTCAACTTTTAGATAAGGCTTTTCAACTTCCTTTTCAAGTTACAAATTGCCCTTACTGAAGTTACAAGAATTTCTTCAAATTTCTGTTCCAGTTCTGCTTTTTAACTCAAATATTTGCTACTGCAATTCAAATCTCATGGTGATCAGCAGTATCAGTTGGATCTTAAAGTGTAAGAAAACACTAACGCTCCAGGCTTGATCAAGTTCCACATAGTTGTACAATAATATTTTCATTGGCTGTTAAAGTGCCATACAGCACAGCATTTTTGCTTTCAATGGTGTTAGAATTATCTGAGTGTTGTAATAACTGTAAATTGTCCCATCTGCTCAGGTGCAAGTGAGTACCTGGAAAGGTGGTGGTGTGGAGACCGCAGGTATGACTGCTGCAGCGGCCGAGGCAGCTGTGGGGTCATGCTGGAGGGCCAAAGGATTTATCAGGTGCTCCACTGGGTGCATCTTCCCTTCCTCCATTAACTTAGTTGCAGGGGCAGCAGAAAACATAGCAGGGTACTGGGCACCAAGGCCTGGAAGAGTCACTAAACATATACGTACAATTAGAACAATGGCAAACATATGCAGACTATATAGTGTACTTTACACAATAGCATATTTTGTACATCACTATGTAAAGTGTGTACCATATGTTAGGTAACATATTTAAAATCTCAAATGAGGCAGTATAGAAATTCAGGTAAGTGAAGTTAAGTCAGAAAGTGCAAAAAGGATAAAGGTTAAAAGCAGAAAAAAGGGAAAGACCGAGACTTACACAACCTGTCCTCATTTACAACAAGTGTATGACTCAGCTTAAGATTAGTGACAAAAAACACACCTACACACAGCCACATACACACCGTCTTACACACACACATTGTTTCCATGTACAAAAACTCTTTTCATTCCCCATGTTAATTCAGATTTAGGTTTAAGTGACGTCAGAATACTCCAGTCAGGATTTTGCAGATCTCAGATCAGAATTCTGCAAGATCAGTCAGTTTCGACACAGAGCAGCTGATTAGTAAGAAAATAAAGTCATTAAGAACTTTGAACTCAATGCCCAAACAAAGTCAAACACTCTCAAAGCATTTTATAAGTGTTTTAGTTTCTGTCTTATGTTAATGTATTTAATAACAGTCTATTCAGATGACTGTACATTGTAATATTTAATCTGGAGGTATATACGATTTTGAGAGCTTTTTGAGAATTGTTTGAACATTGTATGTATAATTGAAAGAAAGCATTTAAGCAATAAAATAAAAACCAAAAGCCTGCTTACTAGGGTAAGCAGTGACAGCTATGACAGCTGACAACTGTCATAAAGAAAGGAAGTTAGTTTTCCACTCCAGGCCAGTAGGGGCAGTACAGTTTAATAAATGATCTTTAATTTTTATTTTTTTAATAACTCCAGTTTACTTGATTGCCATTTTTAGATGTAAGAATTGAATGTAAAACTAACTGGTGGTTCAATTTCAGTAATAAATAATATTAGTAAATTGTCTAGAAACTTCTTGAAGTTTCTAGATTCTGCCTCCACTGAATGGAGTAGAGCACAACTGAGTTAAATTCTTTATATATGTGGTTTAATTTCACACTGACTTGTGCCAGGCTTGATGCCCACTGGGTTCACAGCTGCCAGCTCTAGATTGGGCATGATCTCGTAAGGTTTGTCCAGCAATTTGGCCTTTCCTTCATGGTAGCGGCTGTAAATGCCTCGGCCAGCTGAATAGCCACCAAGGTATGAGCCGCGGGGCCCTTGGCCCCTATTAACGGCCCCAGCACGGCCCCGGCCTCTTACAGTACCTGCTTAAGATAAAAATGAAAGGAGGTGCTGTTCAGGTACAGAACCAAAAGGAGGCACATACATATATATATATATATACAGTGGGGGAAAAAAGTATTTAGTCAGCCACCAATTGTGCAAGTTCTCCCACTTAAAAAGATGTTTTTTGCCCCACTGTATATATATATATATATATATATATATATATATATATATATATATATACGTATATATATTAGTACTGGTAACCCCATTGCATGGCGTTAAGCAGACGATTGAAATAAAGTCATTAGCTTTCTCTGTCAGCTTTCGATTCTAGTTAAATGTATTTGCTAAAAAGGTTTGCTAGCACTGATGACTTTGTGATCGAGATAGGGGTGTGGTACTATCACTCTTCGGCATTCTAATTTAAAACTGCTGTCAGTGTGAACGCCTCTTGAGATATTTGCAATTTCCCTCCATTCTTTGAAATGGGAGTGGTGGTGTTTGAGCAAAGTTGAAATTAAAAGTAAAGATAAAGTTCTGTTTTAATCAGATAGTAGATGACCAAATACGTCTCAGATTGAATATGCAATCACAATTCTTTGTTCAATTTGAAAGAGAAAAAATGATCTCAGTTGTTACAAACCCAACCCAAAACCACAAGCATTTGTAATTGATGATTATGGGTTAGGAAATGTAATGATACCAGATTCCCATCATTAGTTTCAGTATCATACATTTTGGGGATCTCAGCTCTTCAGTCCAAAACAATCTCAAAATGCATGCCATCTAGTGGCCATACTAGAAATGTGAATAGCAACAAACAGGGCAGAGCTTCTTGTTTTGGGATGTATCTTTTAAAACAGCAGTTCTCAAATGGTTTTGTTTCTGGATTTTATATTAGATACCAAGTAGCATCCATATTTCCTCAAAATTAAAAATCTTTAAAATTACCATGAACTAATATGCAAAATTATTAACATGACAAGGCTGAATAGGAAAAGTGATTTTGGGTTCTAAAAGTCTCTTGAAATTTAAGCCAATTTCAACATGTGTCCAACCAAACCAATTTTATCTTCATTATATTTTAGAGTATGAGTACTCTATTGTGACAAAACATACTTGAAGAAAGTAAAAATTTCCCCTTTTAATTGTACATAAGTGTTAAAAAGTAAACTTGGCTTGGCTTCGGTGTAACTGGTAATGAAGTGCAATTACAGCACCCCTTACACCCCCTGAATGGGTCATATTTTACCTTGTGTAGCTCATGGGTTTTGATTTTCAGGATTTTTAGCATTGGAATATTTTTTTCACCAGTTGAGAACCACTGTTTCAAAGGTGGTAGCCATATGAAAGTTCTGGGTTAAAGAAGACATAATTTTAACATTTATTGTAATTCATCCCCTACATTTGTTTGTACAGATCATGTCTGATTACTTGTGTAAATGTAAATACGTTTAACTGCATAATACTCAAAGTCATCAAGAAAAATCAATTGTTACGATTGCTTTCAGGTAATTCTGATTTTATCAAATGGTATTGCATTTCTTGAGTACATAAAGTACATAAAGGATCTTTTTTTAAAATTAAGAATCACACTCTCCCCACTGTTAATTTTGATCTTAGAGGGTAGAAAGAAAAAAATTAGGTGTCCAACCTTTGATAAAGTAGTCTCGGTTGGGTCCAATGAGTGTGCTGTAGGGATAGCCGTAATAGGCGAGTGTATACGGGTCACACTGATACACGTAACTTTGTTGGCTGTTGTCAGTAGTTGTCGCAGCCGCCGTTCCCTTCGATGCTTTCTGATAGCGGGTGTACTGCTCCTTATCCACTGGCTTGGCCAGGGTTACTTCGATGCGGGAACCTTCGATCTCTGTGCTGTTCAGGTTGTCCATTGCAACCACTGCATCTTCTCGACTGGCGAAGTGAACAAAGGCGTAGTCTCGGATTTTTTTGACACGTTCCACACAGCCAGGATTGAACTGGTTGAAGGTTTGGCGTAGAGCATCTTCACTGGTCTCTATCATCAGGTTGCGCACATACAGAATCTTCACTGTTTCCATCACGTCCTCGTCAACGTCGATCTCAGGTTCTGCCCAGTCAACTGCAATCTGGTGACCCCAGAGCTGTATATATAGAGAAAGAGATATACACACAGCCGGTTTAAAGTAAGGTAGGTGTGTTCACTAAATATCATGGATGAAGGAATAGTTCAGCTAAAAATGAAAATTCTCTTTATTTATTTTACCCTCATGTCATTTCAAACCCCTATACTGTTATTTTTTTTCTATAAAAATCTTCACACAACTGTTTTTCAATGCAACAATACTATATAGCTTCAAAAAGTGCAAATAAAAATGATAAAAGCACCATAAGAGCGATCCAATCAAAATCTTCCCATTAAGTAAGTTGTTAACTGTTGTGATAGGATCATTGAAACAGTCAATGAATGAAGGATCGAGTCAGTGAACTCAGAACCGGATCAGTCCTATTTGTTATTAAATGAGTAAGCTTAATTTTCAAACAAACTGTTTGGCGTAGAGCATCTTCACTGGTCTCTATCATCAGGTTGCGCACATACAGAATCTTCACTGTTTCCATCACGTCCTCGTCAACGTCGATCTCAGGTTCTGCCCAGTCAACTGCAATCTGGTGACCCCAGAGCTGTATATATAGAGAAAGAGATATACACACAGCCGGTTTAAAGTAAGGTAGGTGTGTTCACTAAATATCATGGATGAAGGAATAGTTCAGCTAAAAATGAAAATTCTCTTTATTTATTTTACCCTCATGTCATTTCAAACCCCTATACTGTTATTTTTTTTCTATAAAAATCTTCACACAACTGTTTTTCAATGCAACAATACTATATAGCTTCAAAAAGTGCAAATAAAAATGATAAAAGCACCATAAGAGCGATCCAATCAAAATCTTCCCATTAAGTAAGTTGTTAACTGTTGTGATAGGATCATTGAAACAGTCAATGAATGAAGGATCGAGTCAGTGAACTCAGAACCGCATCAGTCCTATTTGTTATTAAATGAGTAAGCTTAATTTTCAAACAAACAATTTTTGAAAAGAATCTTCTTAAAAGAATGATTTGTTCATGGATCTGACTGATCCAGTTCTCTAGTCTCAACTCACTCACTCATTAAATTAGTGAGTCAATCAGTGAAGCAGTGAGTCACTGAACGAGGAATCGGAAGATGTGGAATAAAAAAAAGAGTCTTAAAGAATACTTTTATAATGATTTTATAGTGTATTTTGTCCTTTTTATAGTATTTTTGAGCTTAGCAGATGTGGTCTATCACTTCTGTTGTATGGAAAATAGTTGTGTGAAGAGTCTTCAAAAAATTCTCCTTTGGTAAGTATATAATGAAGTGAAAAGTTTCAGTGGAAAATGGTGTTAACCTGAATTCGCCCTGGCATGAGCTTTCTTCTGGCCATAGCAGCAGCACGGTGAGACTCATACTCTACAAAGGCAAAGCCACGATTCTTCATCTTATCCGCAGCACTCGCGTACACAATCACATCCAGCACCCCCTCTGTCACCTTGGAAACTTCCTCCAGGATCTCTTCACGTTTCTTGGTTTTTGGGATTCCACCAATGAAGAGGCGGCAGTTATCTACACTAGAGCACACACCTAGCAACCTTCCTGGACGAATTTCGAAGTTATTGAGTTCACGAACTGCTCGCTTAGCCTCATGCTTCTGCGTGTACATAACGAATGCGTAACCGCGGTTCTTCCCATCAAAATCCATCATTAGGCGCATCTCATAGATCCGTCCAACAGTCTCAAATACTGGCACCAGCTCGTCCTCGTATACGTCACGTGGGATTTTACCCACAAAGATTTCGCAGCCACGTGGAGGGGAAGGGCTTTGCCAGCCAGGTGGTGGTCCATATTTGCGTTGTCCATTTTCTTGCACCATACCATAGCCTGATCGCTCCATCAGGGCCACAAGGGCAGCTTCATTGGGGGCCCCAGCCACTCCCTCTGGGATGGCGCTGTGATGCTGCGGATGCTCAGAGGAGGCCTTAGAAGAGGAGGAAGGGCTAGGGTTACTCATAGCAACGGCAGAGGCGGAGTCTTCTGCTGTCATTCTGAGATAAGCATCCAATCAGGATTGGAGTCTAAAAAGAGACAAAAAATAATAAATCTATTTCTATAAAGAATACAATTTCAATCATTTCCATCCCAGTTCCTCATATCAACTAGGTAGAGATGTACCAATATTACAATTTTGGCCAATAATTATTATTATCATCTTATGGTTAAGTGGCCAGTATTAAAATTGTCTAAATGAATTAAAAATAAATGACTAAAAAAATAAAATCTATTATTTTGAATGCAACTAGTGAATTTACATTATAATGTTCAGTATGAAAAGCTGACATTAATTTTGAGATTTGCTAAAGATTACAATTAACAGTGTTATTAAGTTGTTTAAGTGTTTTAAAGATTAACTTTAAGTGAGCCTTAGATGATGGTAAAGGTAATCTAAATGCAAAAATGAAGGAAATAAGCAACAATTTAATAGTATTATTTAATATCAAATTTCATCAAGTAACATTGCTGATAAAAATATATAATGTTAGATAGATAGATAGATAGATAGATAGATAGATAGATAGATAAAATTATAAATAATTAAATTATAAGTCCTTTTTCTCTTTAAGACACACACTGACAAAACGTAAATCCTCTTCTACACCTAAAGCAGCCTAATAAACCCCACTAAGCCGTGTCTACATTCTCTAACATGGAAAAAATCTCCAAAATGCTTAAATCCTACAGTCTAGGAATTTCCATAATCAGAACACAGATGCATGGAAGCAAAATCTTTGACAAAGAAATCATGTTTTACATAAAGAAACCATGGTTTTGTAGGGAATTAGTGTGTTTATTAGTAATGTTTTACTAAACATTATACAGTATATACATATATTCACTGTTTTGCAGTTAGTTGGCTCAAGTCAGTAATTTAGCAGTTAGCCGGACCTTGATGCCTGCTTAGAGGGTAAGGTAGTTAGGTTGCTTAGCAATGAAACCATGGTTGCACATGCAGAGCATGCTGACCCACACAGCTTATCCTGGAGCACACAACGTTCACATAACTCACACAGACACGAACAATGCAAGCAAACACAATTAAAAGGACAAAAGTAACAAGGTGTAAAAGTTATTAATTATTAATATACTTCAGGAAAAAGTTCAAACAAATGAACAACTACAACACCCACCGTGCTTAAGTTGGTACCTGGTGTTTTCATGATGAGTTCTAAGAGGCTTGCTGAAGGAGCATGTGACTGTGACAGTGAGGTTGGAATAACAGGCAACTCAGCAGTACTAAACTAAAGCTCTCTTACACACATCCACAAACACTTCCTCATTCACACGCTTACACGCACATATACTGAAAATCAGTACATGTGTGGCTCAAGGCCAAGCTGAAACAGGAAGAAAAGCAGACTGACTAATCAAAAGCCATGAAGACCAGGCAGACGACCAATAAAATATATTTAAATCATCTGTGGATGTAGCATTTCTATATTCACTTATGCAAAAGTTTGGCAAAAACAGCTAATAGAGCCTGAATTTAAAAAAGGTAAATTTTTATAAAAATTAAATAATAGAACAAAAAAAAAAAGTTAAGAATTTGAATAATGGGCATTTATTACTACTACAAAAAATTACTGGTTGTCATATTAAATTGTGCATAGTCTCTTGGTGGAAGTGGGGTCAATGGAAGTGTACTGTACGAATGACAATGAGAGACGATTCAGCAGAATTCTGGAGGAAGGAGAGGTCGCGAGAGAAGAAATTGTGGATCTCTGCCAGAAACTGAACAAGCAAAGAGAGAGAAAAAGCATAAGAAAATAAAAAAAAACTGACTCAGCAAGAGGAGCAAAAATAAGTAGGTGTCATTTTCATGCGATTATGACAAAAAAGCGCGATAAAAACGCAAATAATGCCTCCCATAGAGCTACGTGGGGGCAATACAAAACGTGAGACAAGCTGTAGAAAAAAACGCAAGATCTCAAGACGTGTTTTTAAATGTTTAACTTGACATCGCGTTCAATAAGTAGGCCGTTCTTGCGCAAGACCCAACAAAAGACGCAAACGCAACTGTCTAAAGACGTCAAGTCAGTCTAGCGCATATTCATACTCGTATTCAAAAAGGGAAAATCAGCAAAGCAGAGTACAAAACTGTCTGCCTCTCCAAACACTTTAACCGAGAGCATCCAGCACAGAATGGATGATCTCACACGCGACGCGTTTCTACGCTCAACATCTGGGATTTTACAGAATGCAGGGTTTTGGATTTTTTTCTCGAATGTACTTACCTTAGCTCATGCTACAGCTCGACTGCAAAAGGAGTGATGTGGACTGCTGCAGTGATAGGCCTTTGATATGGTGTTCACGCTTTTTAGCAAAATACTTTTTAGGGTAGGTTTGTTTTAGGCCAGTTTCTGTATACCTTAAAATTATTAGCCATTATAACAACCTCCCTGTGTGTTAATTAATTAATGACTAATTAATCACAATAGGAAGTAATTAATTCTTATAACGTCACAATCTGTGATGGCGAGGAACGATGGAGACGAGGAATAAAGGAATCCATACATCTTTAATCCATGGAACACAGGGTACATCAACACTGGAGACAACAGGAAACACATCAATGTAACGAGTAGAACGACAGAGACAGACTGCACAGACTAGGACTTAAATACAGGGGATGATTGGGGAAACACAAGTGTATGGGATGACTAATCGAATCTAATTAACAAAACGAGGATAGGAACATGACCAAATAAGGGAACAGAAACAGGGGCAAAACATAACACAGACAGTCCATGATCCTGACATTACGCCCCCTCCCGGAAGGTGTGTCCTCGCACCGTAGCAACAACAGAGGGAGGCATGGGGGCGAACTTGGGAGGAGGTTTCGGAGGAGGACAGACACCCGGAAGGGGGCCGGCAGACAGAGACCAGGGAGGTGACGAAGGAGGGAGGAGCCTGGGAGGAGACAGGAGGGGCCCGGAGCAGGAGGAGCCAAGCAGGACCCAGGCCACAGCCATAATGTCAACCCACGGTGGAGCCGACGGAGGGAGGAGTGGCCACCGACTCCAGGGGGCCGACCAACGGTGGCGGAGCAGGTGGTGGAGGAGCCCGAGGCGGAGACGGAGAGCCAACGAGCCAGGGGGATGCCGAGGATCCGGGGGGCCAGGGTGGAGCCGAGGGCTCTGGCGACCAAGGTGGTGGCGGAGATCCGTGGCGGAGCCGGAGCGACTGAGGACCAAGGTGGAGCTGGCGGGAGGAAGGAACCCAATAGAGCCGGTGGGACGGAGCGACGAGGTGCAGCCGGAGGAGCGGAGTCCTGAGGCGATGGCAGGTCGACACCCGACCAAAGCGGAGCCGGAGGGATGAGGGAGCTCGGTGGAGCTGGTGGATCGACGGGTGACGGTGGAGATGAGGGAGCTAGGAGCCGAGGTGGAGCTGCTGGGTCTACGGGCCGAGGCAGAGGCTGGGCCTCAGAGGCTGGAAGCAGAGGTGAGGGATTCTCCAGCCATGGCGACGCTGGAGAATGGCAGACCCGCGGCGCTCGCACCGTATTGATGGTGGGCTGAGGGCGAGCAGAGGGGCTGCCAGACGACAGCGGTGGAGGAGGCAGGAACGGGTGGAAGGGCAGGTATTTGTGTGTCTCCAGGCATTCAGGGCTTAACTTTGGATCGCAAGCCCCCTCTAGGCTGAACACGGGAACAGGATGGCGCTCAGGAGGAGCGAATACTTGAGGGCGCTTACGAGGAGCTGGCACTGGAGGGCGCTTTGGACTGGATTCGGGGACTGGAGCCCTCTCCTCGCCGCGCCATACTCAGCTCACCCTCAGCCGCGGTGCAGGGGGCGGAGCTCCTCTCCGCGCTCATACCGTCCGCAGCGTTCTCCCTCGTGGCAGGCATTGTCACCGGCTCTTGCACCTGGTCTGACGGCTTGGGCTCTACTTCTGGGGCGATCCTCTGCTCAGTCACTCGCCATTGCGCTGGCTCATAGATTGCGGCGGGAATTGGCTCTCCATCATCGGTGGGCTCGGGCTTTAGCTCCGCACAGCGGGGAGATGGTGGGCTGGGCTCTGGGTCCAGAGTGGATCTGGCGAGATCATCCTTGGGAGTGATGGTGAGAGGCGATCCGTTTCTCACCAGAATCCACTCCACAAACACGGTGAAATCCGCTCGAGGACCATCTTCGGACGACGGCGCCCTACACGCGGTGTTTAAACTTGCGTCGTAGAACGTACAGAGCGTGTCATCTGGGTAGCTGGTGGTGTTAGCTAGCAGCTGGAGTATGGTCCTCGAGCGATCGCTCCCCCTGCTCCAGCAGGAGGAGGAGGAATTCCGGGCAGAAGAGGGGATCCATAGGAAGAACACAAAGGAAACAAAAACCACTGAATAAACACGGAAAACAAAAAACGGAGGGGAGACACGGAGGTTACTGTTTTTGGTCGGTTCTTCTGTCACAATCTGTGATGGCGAGGAATGATGGAGATGAGGAATAAACGAAACAGTCTTTAATCCATGGAACACAGGGTACATCAACACTGGAGACAGCAGGAAACACATCAACATAACGAGTAGAACCGACAGAGACAGACTGCACAGACTAAAACTTAAATACAGGGGATGATTGGGGAAACACAGGTGTATGGGATGACTAATCAAAGCTAATTAACAAAACAAGGACAGGAACATGACCAAATAAGGGAACAGAAACAGGCAAAACATAACACAGACAGTCCATGATCCTGACATATAATTAATAAAAATATAATTGTTATAAATTTTATTAATATTAACTGTCAATCATTTTAAGGTAAATCACTGGGGATAACAAAGATTTGAAAAGCATTTTTTAGGCCCTCGTGTGTTTCTGGAAGTGAGATGTTTTGGAAGTTTCCTTGTTCCGTACAGATATAGCCTACAGAAAACAGCAGGAAGTGAAAATCAGTGGCAAGACAGAGAAAATGCACGATCGAGAGGGTGGAAAAAGATTATTCATTTTCCAGCCAACATCAGGTTCCATATCTCATTGTACCTGCCTGGCAATGGTTGACCTTTATAAGTATGTGTGCATG